AAATAAATAAATAAATAAATAAAACATTAAAGCCTGGCGATAATCACTGCTTTCCAGGCTTGCATACTGCATACCCTCAGAAAATATTATGTGTATACAGATATAAGAATATATACATGGACACAGACAGTCCTTTTCTGTACAAATAGAACCAAACTCTACATGTTACATCTCTGTACTTTGCTATCATATATAAATATCTACCTTAGTGTTTGTATGGGGTCTGACAATTAAGTTCACAAACTCATCCTAGAAAAAATGCTACATACCTCATCACTGAATAATAGCTCCAAAATTACTTTGAAGAGTGAAGTAGGTACTGGTGTCAGTGCATAGCTTTTCCAAGGGAAGGTGACCATAGTGACATTCAGCAATGAGGTATGCAGCACCTTTTCTAGGATGAATTAATGAACTTAACTGTCAGACCGTGTATGGCTGAGTGGTATTTCTTTTTTTTTCTTTTTTTTGAGACAGAGCCTCAAGCTGTCACCCTGGGTAGAGTGCTATGGCATCACAGCTCACAGCAACCTCCAACTCCAGGGCTCAAGTGAGTCTCTTGCCTCCGCCTCCTAAGTAGCTGGGACCACAGGTGCCCGCCACAATGCCCAGCTATTTTTTGGTTGCAGCCGTCATTGTTGTTTGGCAGGCCAGGGCTGGATTCGAACCCACCACCTTAGGTGTATGTAGCTGCCGCCTTAGCCACTTGAGCCATAGGCGCCAAGCCACTGAGTGGTATTTCATTTTATATATATATTATAATTTAACCAATACCCTCTTGATAGACATTTAGGTTGCTTCCAAGTTTTCTGTTACAATGCTATAGCAAAAAAATCCATAAACATATTCCGGTACTCTTCTGTGACTTTTTAGGATAAATGTTTTGTTTTGTTTTGTTTTTGAGACAGAGTCTCACTTTGTCCCCCACTGGTAGAGTGCAGTGGCATCACAGCTCACAGCAACCTCAGACTCTTGGTCTCAAGAGATTCTTTTGTCTCAGCCTCCTGAGTAACTAGGACTACAGGCACCCACCACAACGCCCAGCTATTTGTTAGAGACTGGGCATTGCTCTAACTCAGGCTTGCTCCAAACTCGTGAGCTCAGGAGATCTGCTCAGCTCAGCCTCTCAGAGTGCTGGGACTACAGATGTGAACCACTGTACCCAGCTGGGAAAGGTTTTAAAAGGTTCATTGGGCTCGTCCTCGGCTTGCATGCCAGGAGAGTCCAGGCCCGGGGCCCCTGGGCTTCCCGGGTCTGTAATAAATCTCATCTTATGCCCTTTAAAAATAAATAAATAAATAAATAAAAATAAAAATAAAAAGGTTCATTGATATCTGTGATTTTTTTTTTTTTTCCTGAGACAGTCTTACTATGTCACCCTCGGTAGAGTGCCATGGTGTCATAGCTCATAGCAACCTCAAACTCTTAGGCTTAAGCAATTCTCTTGCCCCAGCCTCCCAAAGTGCTAGGACTACAGGTGTCCACCACAATGCCCAGCTATTTTTTTTGTTGTAGTTGTCATTGTTGTTTTAGCTGGCCCAGGCTGGGTTCGAAAATGCCAGCCTCGGTGTATGTGGCTGGCGCCCTACCCACCGCGCTAGGGGCGCCACCCAATATCTATAATCTTTTAAACTTTTTTTCCATTCAACAAAAATGATAAGGCTCAGTGCCCGTAGCTCCAGTGGCTAGAGCCCCAGCCACATACACCAGGGCTGGTGGTTTTGAACCTCGCCCAGGCCTGCTAAACAATAATGACAACTATAACAAAAAATAGCCAGGGTGACGCACTTAGCTCAGTGGGAAGGGTGCTGACTGCGAACACTGAGGCTGGCAAGTTCAATCCAGCCTGGGCCAGCTAAAAAACAACAGCTACAGTAAAAAAAATAGCCAGGTGTTGTGACAGGCATCTGTAGTCCCAGCTACGTGGGAGGCTCAGGCAAGAGAACTGCTTAAGCCCAGGACTTTGAGGTTGCTGTGAGCTATTAACATCATGACACTCTACCCAGGGCAACAGCTTAAGACTCTGTCTCAAAAAAAAAAGCTGGGTGTTGTGGCAGGCACCTATAGTCCCAGCTACTTGGGAGGCTGAGACAAGAGAATCACTTAAACCCCAGAGTTTTAGGTTGCTGTGAGCTGTGACACCACAGCACTCTACCCAGGGTGACAAAGTGAGAAAAAAATACATATTACTTTTTAATTTTACATTTCATGAATCATTATTGAGGTAAACATAAAAAATGTAAGAGCATTTTAATTACAATTCTTCTATAGGTTCTTGTACTGGTCAGAACACTTTCTATTTATTTCCAAGAATTTCCCACATACTCCCTTTGTCTCTTAGGGATAAATTTGTAAATCAGGGAATGAAACCATGAGATATGATTATAAACTTCAAACAATTACTTTTGTTGTTGATTTCTAATTTTTTTTTAAGATGGGGTCTTAATATGTTGACTAGGCTGGCATCAACCTCCTGGGAGCAAGTAATCCTCCCATTTCAGCCTCCTCAATAGCTTGGACTACGGGTGTGCACCACTGCACCCAGCCTGATTTCTAATTTTAAAAGAAATAAACTATAATAAGAAGACTGAATTTTCAAACTAAATCAGGCATCACCTTCTTAAAGTAGTCTCAAGTTCTTTAGTTGTCCCAGTAATGGGATTTTACTTAAAACATGGCCAAAAGGCTTTTAGCCTTATCTAATCCCTGAGCTTTTTCATTGCAATTGACTGGAATGTAAGCATCGGGAGGGCACATCTGCCCATTTTGCAGCTATAACAACAAGGTCCAGCAGTGCCTGCACAACTCTCAATGCTGCATGAGTTATTGCACAGATGGATGGGTAGACAGCTGGATGACCAAACCTTGTTGAGAGGTGGCCACAAAAAGATAGCAGCTCTCCCGGCCAGTAATAACGAAGGCAAGAGGTTGTTCCAAAAGTAGACTTGATGGCTTCTGTGAAATATGTGTGGTCTGTTTGGGGGACTACATCAAAAGAGGTAATGCTTTCTTGAATATGTGTATTCTGATATACTGGTATATTTTCTAATCATGCTTCAGATACTGTAACAGTCATATGGGAACACATATGCAGCTTCCCACATAGAAAAGCAAAGAGGCTAAGAGTACAGCCTCTAGAACAGTGGTTCTCAACCTTCCTAATGCCACGGCTCTTTAATACAGTTCCTGCGGGTCACAACCCACAGGTTGAGAACCGCTGCTCTACGAGTCCTTACTCTAGCTCTGCTACCGTCTCTCTGAGCCTTGATTTCCTCATCTCTACATTGGGACAGAGGACCTACCACATAGCAGAGCTCCAGGACTCACAAAGAGACACATACTCTCAGAATTTAGCACGGTGCTTAATAAACAGGGCCTGTTAGGATGTCCCAACAGCTACAGCTGACTCTGAATCATACCGAGCTTGAAGCCTGCTAGAATCTGACCAGTCCGAGAAGAAAAGCCTGAACAAGAAAGAGCCTACCTCCCACTTGCATCCCACATGCCGGGCAGATGATTTTCCAGGGGGCATCCAAGGTACCTTGGTTTTCACCCGGACACTCCGCCGCACATTCACGGTGTCCCCTTTCATTCCTCGCTTATGAGATTTCTGTGGAAAGGGACAAACCTAAGATCACTTTTATGCCCAGGAGGCCAGTGTCACTCGGGTGGCATCCACCTCCAACTGTGCAGGAGAGCCTCTGCTAACTAAGGTTACTCTGCTGTTTCTGGAAGACAGGCCTGCCTACCTTTTGACCAGGTAACTGACCTCTGAAAGAGAGTGTTTGTGTCCCAAACCTCTGGAGTCAGAAGCACGAGGAGGCTGGGCTGAGAGGTATCACTCTGATCCACAGCTGTTTCCTCGCCCCACTGGCATGCTCCTACCTGGCTGGTGGTCGCTGATGGTTTCGGGAGTTTTTTTATGTGGACGTGGACAGGGGTGTTCTCATCCACGTGAACATGTAAGGGGGGAGTTGAAGAACGGTCCTTCATGGTTCGCTTCTGGCAGGCAGGGGAGGACAACACAAAAATGGTTGATCTGTGGATGAGTAAACTGGGCATAAAAACAGAGCTCACAGCCTCTAGGAGCCATTGAAAGCCTAGCCACCAAGCGAGCAGGACAGCTACCAACTACTGGCATGCAGGCAGGCACCAAGGCAGGAGTACCATCCAGCAGGCTCCTACAGAGATTCCAGCTGAAGACCACCAGGGAGACCCAGGTCCCTTCATGAGAAGGTTCTGCAAGACCGTGAGTTCTACAAGATAGTCCACACCCAGGCCCCAGGGTCCTCAAAACTGAATCTCCTTCTAAGCCTGCTGGAATGCAGAGCCCCTCCTTGGATTTAGTGCAGCACAGCTGGAAAGCAGGTGGATGCTTCCACACAGTAATCTTAACAGGGGACGCAGAGTAGCATGGGAAACACAAAACATGGATAGGGCACAGAATAGATCAGACAGCAGGCTGGTAGAAGACTGTGAAAACAGAAAGATGGAGGAAATGCCAAAGATGAGAAGGTTGTCTAGAGTCTTTTTTTTTTTTAACTGAGACTGAGTCTCACTTTGTCACCCTTGGTAGAGTGCTGTGACATCATAGCTCACAGCTATGGGCTCACACTCTCGGATTTGAGTAATTATCTTGCTTCAGCCTCCCAAGTAGCTGGGACTATAGGCACCCGCCATAATGCCCAGCTATTTTTTTTTTTTTTTTTTTGAGACAGAGCCTCAAGCTGTCCCCCTGGGTAGAGTGCCGTGGCATTACAGCTCACAGCAACCTCCAACTCCTGGGCGCCCAGCTATTTTTGGAGACAAGGTCTCTTCTCTGGCTGAGGATGGTTTCGAACTCCTGAGCTCAAGCAATCTGCCTGCCTTGGCCTCCCTGAGTACTAAGATTACAGCACCCAGCAACTTGTCTAGATTCTAAAGAAAACACCCTAGCTAGCTGTCCCTCCTCACCCCTCCTCATTCCATCCATTCTCCTAATCTTTTAAAATTTCTCGGGCGGCACCTGTGGCTCAAGGAGTAGGGCGCTGGCTCCATATACCAAAGGTAGCAGGTTCAAACCTGGCCCTGGCCAAAAAAAAACGCTGCAAAAGATAAAATTAAAATGTCTCTTTCTTTTCTTTTCCTTTATTTTATCTATTCATTTGAAAATCTGTTCTAAAGATTTTAGGATGTGCCTGGAAGGATAAGGTTAAGACAACCTTCCCGGCTCGGTGCCTGTGGCACAAGCAGCGAAGGCACCAGCCACACACACCTGAGATGGCGGGTTCGAATCCAGCCTGGGCCCGCCAAACAAAAATGCTGGCTAAAACCAAAAAATAGCTGGGCGTTGTGGTGGGCGCCTCTAGTCCCAGCTACTTGGGAGGTGGAGGCAGGAGAATCACTTGAGCCCAGGAGTTGGAGGTTGCTGTGAGCTCTGATGCCACGGTATTCTACTGGGGCAACAGCTTAAGGCTCTGTCTCAAAAAAAAAAAAGACAACTTTCCCTGAGTTGGCAGCCTTGCCACAGGCCAGAAAAGAATCAGCAGTACATGCAGAACAGCAACTAGACCACCAGGGCCACAGTGGTGCCTGGCAGGTAAGGCAGCTCCTAGAAAAGGCATGCAGAAGCATTTTTGACAGGGTCACAGACCAGAGAGGGCTGCTCTGCGATCAGTCACCTACCGTCACAGTTACACTGGGTGCGCCACAAGGTGTTCTCAAGACTTTTTTCTGCGTGAGACTCGTTACTCCGTTTTTCCCACACGATGGAAACCTGTACCCGGGCACAAGAACCAGATCATAAGCAGAAAACTAGGACTCTCTTATTTCTTAGTTCTCACAAAATGGCACCCTCATACGGTAGCTAACAAGTTCACAGCTAGGAGAAGGAGCCTGGAATTCCTTGGCTCCCAGACACGAATGGTGTGCCCAGCAGTAGGATGGAAACAGAGTGACTTGTATTTGCAGGCTGGCCTTTTAACCTGCCACCGCATCACGCATATTATGACCTTCGCTGAAAAGCCTAGCTGTCATCCTGTCAGGTGATAAAAAGCAGGCAGCACAAGAGTAGCAGCCAAGAGGTTGGTGTGGCCAAGCGTGGATGTGCACAGGACAGTGCCTAGACCAGAGGCGATCCTGGAGAAATACTCAGTGAATGACTGACATAAAAAGACAGAGCATTAGGCTCAGGAACAAGAAATCACTGTGACTCAACTTCACCAAATTAAGGCTCAAGTAATCACCTAAGAGGATGAAAAAGTATCTATTTTCCAAAATATTCCACTTGCTACCCTTTAAAATCCTAGGAAGCAAAGAATCTGCTTTAATGCCATGTGTAGTTCATCTTGCTTACACATATACCGTACAGCTCCATCACCAGATTTGCAAAGATAGCAAAAGCTTAATCTGCTCTAAAATCAAGCAGCAGTATATCCAAGAATTCCTGGATGGGAAGGGACTGGAATAATTATTTGATCCATCTCTTTGCCTCCTGACAGTCCCAAATTATTACTATGACCTCCCCACAAGTGCTTGGAGAAAATAATGCAACATAAAAATGCAAGGTTAAAATACATGAGCACTTTAGTATGCATTTTGCTGTATGCATATCACACCTTGATTCTCATATATCTATATATATATTTATTTATTGAACCCTGCTAATAATTTAGCCAAGGAATATCAAAACTGAGAAGGCAGACTTTTTCCCTTTTCATTTATAACACCGTTGTTCACCCAAAGCCAATAGTGTTGGCAAATCGCTTCCTCAGTGGGCTTCCTGTCAAATCAACTGGATTCCATCAACACCTTGCTAATTGCCACATCCACCTCCTATGTCACGGTGATTTATTTACACCCGGTCTTTCAAAAAAGGCTCTGAACCTAGTGCTTCGTTGAAGACAACAGGGGTGACCCGGTTTTCTACCAGAAAGCTAGGCACCTGGGGAGGGAAAGAGCAAGGGAGGCAAAGATGGGATATTATGTGTGCATTTCTTTCCTCCTTCCCTTTAAAAATGATTTTTAAATGCTTTGGTCCAGACTTCCAGTCCACAAAACAAGGAAGCTGAGGAGAGAAGCCTCAAAGAGCCTGGTCTGGGGACCCCTGACCACCTTTCCCTGCCCTACAGCGGAGGCGCCCCCCAACGTCGGCAGTACCTGGGGGAGCCGCCTGAGGACGAGGCAGACATGGCTAGGCATCAAAGCCGCAAAGGTGGGCAATTGGATCGGCAGGCTCTGCTCAGGGGGACCCAGAGGGGCTTGTCAATGAGAATCTCAGGGGCCCGGCATCAAACGTCCGCTCTGAGGGGAGGAGGGTGGAAGCTTTGGGAGTGGCACTTGGATGAAAACTTGGGAGGCGCTCCTCTACTGTCCAAGTCGCACAGCAACTGTCCTGCCAAAGTGGGGGGAGATAGGAGAGGCTGAGCGACCTGCAGGTGGGGGGCACGGCAGGAGGTCCCCTCCCGGGGGAGGAGGGCGGAACTACAAAGGAAGGGACTTCCATGCCTGGGCCCCACCGGGGAAGGAAGGTGGACAGCTACCAGGGGAAATCCTGAGGTACTGGCTGGGGTGCGTAGAGGGCAGGTGAGAACCAATAGGCCCCAAGTGGGCCCCAAGGGGCCGGAACCCGCGCAGGGAGCTGGAGGGATATTCCGGGCGGGGCCAGGGCAACAGTCTCCTAGGAGAAGGGGCGTTCCCAGCAGAACAGGTATCCGGAGAGAACCAATAGTATTTCAAGGAGGGAGGAGCAGAGCCTACTGGGCCACAGGGGCGCTTGGCCGGTAGCCGGGTACCCAGACTACAGAGGGAAAGCCCACCCCGGCGCAACAGGGGACCAAACAACCAAGTTAGGGAGGGTCAGACGCCAGGCTGTGAGGGGGAGCCAGCAGGAGCCGGGTGAGGCCCCAGGCGGCCCGGAGGCGGTCCCCGGGGTACAGCACTGTCTACGAGGACCGGGCGAATAACTGCTGTGCAGAGCCCGCAGGGAGGAAGAGGCGGACTAAGCGATACCCGCCGGCGGGCAGAGGGCTAGGGGCCCGACTCCGTCGGTGGAGAGAAGGGACGGTCACCCACCAGCGGGCAGGAGGAGACCAGATTCTGCCCATAGAGAGAAGGGCGAAGCCCTGCCTGAGGGCGGCGGAGGAAGGGGCAGAGCCCTGCCGGTGGCCAGGAGAGCAGGGAGGCGGCCGGCCCGCCCGTTAGCGGGAGGAGGAGAAGCCCCGTGCCGGTGGGCGGGGCAGGGGCCAGATTCTGACTGGAGCGGGACGAACGCGCCAGGGGTCTAAAGGCGAGCGCGACCCGGACGAACCCTTGGGGGCCGAGCGAGCTGGGGGTGCAGGTGCAGGGCGATCTCGCCCGCGGGGACCGGGCCCAGCGGCGGCCTCTCACCAGGAGCGACACGGCTGCGCCCAGAAACGCCTCCTTATGAAGTCGTTGAAGTCGGAGGCCAGGGTCGTGCCATGGAGACGCCGCGGCGGATGCAGTCCGGCTCCGGCTGCGGCTCCTCCCCGCTTCCGCCTCCTCTTCCGACACCCAGTCGGCAGCTCGCCCATTGGCCAGTTCAAACCCCCCCGTGAGCCGCTCGGGTTTCGCCATTTAGGCCCAGCCCCTGGCGTCACAGAGATGCCCCGCCCCTCCATCAGCTCCGCCCACTTCCGGGCCACGCGTCCGGTCGCCATGGAGAGGCACGACGCCTCCAGCAGGCCTTGCCGGGACTTGTCCCGCAGTTCAGGGACAGGCTTCCTAGTGCGCCATGTTTACCCTCCCTGCGGTCATCATTCCCACGACTCCCAGGAGCATGGACGCTCCTCTAAGCTCCCTGTGAGCCATACTCGGAAACTAGGCTCAGAAAGGGCTCAAAGAACAAGTTAGAGTCTGGAGCTGCACAGAAATCCTGTTAATCCAGCCCTGCCCCTAGTTCAGAATTAGTGCAGCGACTCTCTCCCCTTCCCACATCGCCTCCATCTCTGTCCAAACAGGAGGAAGGGTCGGCATTCCCCTGGCTCCTCCCTGCCCTCCTGCGAGCTGTATGCAGTGCTGTGTACAGACCTACTCTGTTGAGGTTCTCGCTGGGCCGCCATCTTCGCAACTATGCTTCCCTGTCAGCCAATCCCGGCGGGGGGGCTGTCACGTGGCTCCCACTGCCGCCCTGGATTCTGGGAGACTTTACCAACTTCAGGCCAACCTGACCTCAGTTCCTTGACCTTCTTATCTCCAGTGACTTACCTCAGCACATCAGCTGTGCACCCCAGGGGTGTCACACAACTATTCCTTCTGAAATTTTAAAGCCCAGCTTCCCCCTTCCAAGCAGAACCTTTGTTTCTGCCTTCATTTTCGTAGTCTAATGCATGCTATATTTGTTCTTCAGTGTTAGGGAGTCCTCTGCTCCTTCATCCATTCATTTTCTCCCAGAAAATAAGTTGGCAAATCCCCAAATCCTATTGTAACCCGACTATCTGAGGATCTGCAAAGTTTAAATTCACAAATCCACAAATCCACAAAGTGTATCTATCCTCGGCTGAGCTCTGGACAATGTCCAAAAATGTTCTATTTGTACTTAGACCCTCCCAACGGTGGCTTTTCAAAATCTTTGACCCTTCCTCGTTCCATATTCCCAATTCTGTTCATAGAGATCAATAATGCCATCAAGTGGAATTCCTTCAACCTTTCACCGCCCTCTCTCATTTTTAACTTCCTTCACCCTTAAGTCCCCCTTCTAGAGATGTGCCTCATACTGCTTAAGAAAAACTTTATGCTTCAATGACTAGGTCAAACATCCAGGTAAAATATCCTTTGTATTTATATATTTATTTTGAAACAGAGTGTCACTCAGTTACCCTGGGTAGAGTAGCATGGTGTTATAGCTCAGAACAACCTCCAATTCCTGGGCTCAAGCCAGGACAACTGAGGGAGACTCTGTCTCCAAACAAACAAACAAACAAAATCAGATTATTATTTCCCAAAGTTTCTAATTCAATAGGTCTGAGATGGGACCAGAGAATTTGCATTTCAAATAAAATCCCAGATGATGTTGGTGCTACTGGCCTAGGACCACATTTGGAGAACCAGAGAAGTATTTACCAGATAATTACTGACCTACAGACCACCCTGAAGCTCAGAGACTATGATTCTAATCCTTCTGATCTCTGAACACACACCCCCAACCTCTCAGTCCCCATGAAAAGCTAAGAACTCTTGCTTTGGCCATAACGAAGCTCATGATTACACAGAAACATCTAGGAATATGGCCTCAGAAAATAAGACCAACCTGAGAAATTCCTGTGCCCCAAACGCACAAACTCATCCAAACCAGAAACAATTTTCTTCCTCTGCCCTGTCTCTGAAGAACATCCACCTCAGGAGAGCAGGGGCTGGAGCTGGGCTAGGACTTCCAATCCCTGCAATTTTGAGAACCTTGCAGGACAAACTCAAATACTCCCTTCTCCCAGGGGCTGTATCTTTCCCTTTGCAGGATGAATTGAGGCTCCCTCCTAAGTATGGATAGGTGTCAGTATCCCTGCTGTGAGCACTGAGTGTGTGAAAATCTTTTGCTACCTCATACTGGGGGCTTTCTTGGAGCAAAGACCACATCTTCATGTCCTGCAGAACCTAGTACAAAAGAGATGCTCCAGGAGTTTCACTTTAAAGATCCAGTGAAGATCCAGGCATGGTGGCATGTAACTATAGTTCTAGCATCTTAAGAGGCTAAGGTGGAAGGAACAAATAAGTCCAGGAGTCTAAGGCCAACCTGGGCAAAAAAAAAAAAAAAAATTCAGCAAGGGATAAAACAAGCTTTAGAGGCTGGACATGTTGACTCAGACTTGTAATCCTAGCACTCTGGGAGGCAGAGGGGGGAGGATTCAACCTCAGGAGTCCAAGAACAGCCTAAGTAACAGCAACAGCAAGAACCTATCTCTACTAAAAATAGAAACACCAGCTGTTGGGTGACACCTGTGGCTCAGTGAGTAGGGCGCCGGCCCCATATACCGAGGGTGGCAAGTTCAAACCCTGCCCCAGCCAAACTGCAACAAAAAATAGCCAGGTGTTATGGCGAGCACCTGTGGTCCCAACTACTCGAGAATCTGAGACAAGAGAATCACGGAAGCCCAAGAGCTGGAGGTTGCTGTGAGCTGTGACGTACAGCACTCTACTGAGGGCAACACAGTGAGACTCTGTCTCTAAAAAAACAAGAAAAAAGAAAGAAAAACTAGCCGTGCATTGTGGCAGGCACCTGTAGTCTCAGCTACTCAGGAGGCTTACTTGAGCCAAGGAGTTGTTTTTTTTTTTTTTGAGACAGAGCCTCAAGCTGTCCCCCTGGGTAGAGTGCCTTGGCATCACAGCTCACAGCAACCTCCAGTTCCTGGGCTCAAGCGAGTCTCCTGCCTTAGCCTCCCAAGTGGCTGGGACCACAGGTGCCCCCCACAAAGCCCGGCTATTTTTTGGTTGCAGCCGTCATTGTTGTTTGGCAGGCCGGGGCTGGATTCGAACTCGCCACCTTGGTTGTATGTGGCTGACGCCTTAGCTGCTTGAGCCACAGGTGCCGAGCCAGAGCCAAGGAGTTTGAAGTTGCTATGAGTTATGATACCTGGCACTCTACCCAGGGCAACAAAGTGAGATTCCATCTCAAAAAACAAATCAAATTATGGAAAATATTGTCAACAAACATGAAAAAAATTTTCATTATCCTTCATATTCAAAGAATTCTTTTTTTTTTTTTTTTTGCAGTTTTTTGGCTGGGGCTGGGCTAGAACCCACCACCTCCACCATATCGGGCAGGCCCTACTCCTTGAGCCACAGGAGCCACCCAATTCTCCTTTTTTTTTTCTATGAGACAGAGTCTCACTCTATTGCTCTGGGGTATGGTGCTGTGATGTCACAGCTCGCAGCAACCTCAAACTCTTGTACTCAAGCAATCCTCTTGCCCCAGCCTCCCAAGTAGCTGAAACTACAGACTCCTGCCACAAAGCCTGGCTATTTTTTAGAGACGGGGTGGGGTAGGGGAGCAGGGGAGGGCAGTGTATCACTGCTTGCTCTAGCTCAGGCTGATCTTGAACTCCTGAGCTCCAGCAATCTACCCACTTTTGCCTCCCAAAGTGCTAGGATTACAAGGGTGAGCCACCACACCCAGACTATATTTCAAAAAATTCTTACAAATGAACAGAGAAAAAGACAAACAGCCCCAAAGGAAAACAAGCCAAATACATCAACAAGTAATTGACAAAATGAGAAATGAAAATGACACTATCTCACTAGTAATTAAAGAAGTTGGCTCAGGGCCTATGGCTCAGGTGGCTAAGGCACCAGACACATATACCTAAGGTGGAGGGTTAAAATCCAGCCCAGACCTGCCAAACAACAATGACGGCTGCAACCAAAAAATAGCCGGGTGTTGTGGCGGGCGCCTATGGCCCTAGCTACTTGGGAGGTGGAGGCAGGAGACTTGCTTGAGCCCAGGAGTTAGAGATTGCTGTGAGCTGTGATGCCACAGCACTCTACCCAGG